CACGAGGCCTCAGGCATCCCCAAGACAATGCAAGTCTGGCCCAAGGGAATGCACATCTGAAAAAAAATGGTACAGGGTCCCGTTTAGGTTTACCTGCCGGGGCATTAGCAAAGTTCTTGAGTTTCTTGATCTGGAATCGCTTCACAGCCACGGGCTGGCCCTGGTACCGGGCCCGGTAGATGACAGTGCCGCTCCCACCTTGGCCCAGGATGGCGCTCTCATCCTCGCTGTGCTCCAGTTTGCTGTTCTCCAGGAAGAGCCTGCGGGAAACACAGTGCCGGGGTCAGAACAGACCCCCAGAGAGGCCACTGGGGCAGGGCAGGTCCTGGGCTAGGCAGGTGCAAGGACAGGCTGGGCCACTGGTTCCCGCTGTGGAGGGTCAGGGTTCGAAGCCCCCTGTGGGGTCAGCCAGAGCTGGGACACACCCCACCCTGGGCGGATCACGCAGCCTCCACAAGCCTTGGTCTCCTCCTCTGTAAAGTGGGCTCATAACAGGAACTGTGTCAGCGGTGTGGCTGGTGACCTGCATGTGGTGAAGCCTCTGAAAGTGGTGGACACGGAAGAAGAATTCCCTTGGATGTTTTCCTCCCAAACGTTCTGTGCTTTGAGAGCTAGTTTCCATCAGACAAACCTTATTTACTTACTGCTACGTCAGTGGTTCCCTCATTTTTTTTTTTTTGAGTGGCTGGAAAATGAAGTCTCATTTCATTATTTAGAAAAAAATTCTTTGATTGAAGTAGAGTCAGTTTACAATGTGTCAGTTTCTGGTGTCCAGCATAAAGTTTCCATCCTCATTTCTTTTTATTAAGCAAAGAAGTATATAAACCAGCCATGCAGTGTGTTCCCACAGTCAATGGCTAGGATTTATTTCACCCAAGGGCAGGGAGTTCAGACCTTCTCACCCGTCTGCGTGTTCTAATCCTAGGTAAAAGGGAGGTTCCTGTTAGGCTTTTGGAAACACCGCAAGTCACTCCTGGAAGGGAGGGAAAGGGCAAGGGATGAAGGGAGGGAGAGACGGAGGGAGGGAAGGCAGGTAGCCAGATGCTCTCCCACTTCAGGGCATCTCCCAGCTCTGCTGAGGTCCACCTGGGTTTCTGATCAGTGGCCTCTGCCAGGTGCCACCTCTGGAGCTCTCCTGGCCCCACAGAGCAACGCCTCAGCCCCCTCCCCCACCATGCAGCTGTTTCCCATGCCTTCTAGGAACGGATTCTGCAGCTGCTCAGACTTTGCACAGCTTAACTGCATTACCCTCCAGGCAGATGCAACTGCACCTACTGTAGCCCTTGGTGATGCAGCTGAAGATGAACTAGGCAGTTCTCCAAGTGCCAAATCCAAAGCTGCCTGTTTAGGAAGGGTGGGCACTTGAGAGCCTCCTAGGACAGGCACGGGGACCAGCGGGAATGCTGGGGGTCCCTCAGGGCTTTCTGTTAAGACTCCTGTAAACTTGGGACCACTGGGCAGGGCTCCGTGGATGCCAGATTGTCCCCACCCCCACCTGCACAAACTCCCATTGGGGGAGTGTGATGCTTTGGGACCATTGGTTGGGCCACAGCAGAAGTTTCCAGAGAGTCTCTGCTGAATTAAGAATCCTGTTCAGATTTTTGGGCTTTTCAACTCCCAGCCAAGTACTTTAGTCTAAGAGCCATGCTACAGCCTGTGACTAGACCCAACAGGGACAAATAATCTGGCTTTCCAGATTCCGGACAGTAGATTCCATATCCAGATTCAGAGGGGGCATAAAACATAACAAAGTTCAGCAAATAAATAAAAGTTCTAAAATCTGGGGCTGCCTTAATCGGGCACCCGACCATGAAATCTGACTCATACATATACAAAACTCTGCATGTAGTCTCCAAAAAGTGATAACCCTCATGTTAAAGACTTAGGAACAAAGGGAAGTCATTTTGCAGACCAGTGGCATTTAATTGTCATTTCACCAACAAGGTAACTGGGGATATTGGAAAGAACTATGGGGGGAAATTTTCCAATGTAGGCAGTGAATCTTAATTTAACAGACTCTTCCAGAAGCATGCTTTGGAACCCCAATCCTACAACATCTCCGAGAACTCCACATCTCTTTTCTTGGGATGGGGAGCAATTTGGAAAAATGAGGAGGCAAATATTTTTACCCCTCCAAAAGTTTACTTTTCTTTGAAGAAACCAAATAATAGCAATCCTTTGAATAAGAAGACAACAGGACTTCACCACTCCAAAAACGCTGGTAACCACCAATGTCAGACTGTCTCCATGGAGACCAGCCATGGCTTCTGGTTTCCATGACTACAGAAGAGTCCATCTTTTACCCAGCACTTGGGTTTTGTGATTCTTTCCTGTCAGATGGGACCACAAAACGTCTTCTCTTTTCTCCAGCATTCTCTCCCTCATTATTATCTAAGATTAATACAGATAGACAACTCGAAGTACAGATAGATTCAGGGGACCTAAATGCTAAGTTGCAGGGCAGCAGCGAGGAGTTGGCATTTGGCAAGAAAGGAAAATGAGGCAGTAGGGTCTGAAGCACCCTATTCTTGGATGCCAAGTGGTGTCTGTCTTCTATGCCTTGATCTGGTAGCAAAGAAGGAGTTAGGAGGGAAGGAGTGCCAGCTAACGTGAGGGAGAGATGGTGTGGGATGCCGGAATGACTTCACCCTCCAAGTGCTCTGCCTGGCTGGGCCTGTTGTGGCCTCAGAGACAGAGACCCAACAGCCTGGTTCTCTTCAGGCAGCCTAGGCCCAGAAGCTAAAAGTCACCCAGGGTGAGGTGAAAAGCAGAGGGTCCCAGGCAGGGGTGCTATGATATACCTGGCCGGGAAGTCGGTCATGAACAGCTCGGGGACCAGCTCCTGGAGAGGCACGGGGAGGTCGAGGTGCCTGGGGCAGGAGATGAAGTCCCGCTCGATGGCCGTCAGCACGCAGTCTTCCATGTCGAAGTATTGCACGTGCTCCGGTCTCTCACTTGGGCCGGTGTGTTGGGCCCAGGAGGTCTCGCAGACTGGGCAGGGCACGTATTGCTCCATGAGTGGGGTCCCGTCGCTTTCTGTGGCCGTCAGAGCTACATGGGGCAGAGTGGGAGTCCGCTCACCCAAAGGTGGCTGCAGGTGGGTCCCTGGGCAGCACTTGCACCCCCAGGTTGGGTGGGCTTTTCACAGGACGGGGTCTGTCTGCCCTGGCCTGGGCCCCCAGGAGTGGCTGAAACGTGACTGCTGCACTCAGGTTCCTTTCTGGAAAGCACCATCCTGTGTCTTGAAAGACTCATGCAGGGAGAGGCCAGGGATGCACTGGACAGCCGTTGGGTGGTCCAGGCTGGCCAAGGAGGGGCTGAGAGTTTGGGAATCCCTTCTGCACAGCTGGGCCCTGACAGGACTCTGCGGGCTGGTTCTGAGCTATGCCAGTCTCCAGTGACAGAAACCACAAGTAAGGAGCCGTTCTTAAAATTAGAATCATAGAGCTTGCAACTACTATGATCCTTCCTAGAAGAGCAATGCTGGAGGAGGAATGAGTACAAATTATAATAAGACAAAACCTAGTCATTTGACATGAGCTCCCCTGGGCAGGAGACATAGCTCTTCTGCACACCTCTGAGAGGAGGCACAGAGCAATTCCTCTACGCGGCCCATGGAGATGCCCTTCCAGCAAGTTGATGGCTGCTTTGTGCAGGGTGGACTCCTGGCCCTTTCTGGGCACATCTGCTACCTGCAGGCCCATGTGTAACGCATCCCGCCATCTGGCTGGTAGTGCTGAATCTGGGCAGCCCCATCTCGGTCCCTCAGCCCCGTCTTTCCTGTCTAATGGACCCCCAGTCAAATCTCCAGCAGCACCTGCTGTGGGAGGACCACTGGTTGATGGGGAGCCACAAAGGGTCTGGAGGGTTCGCATGGCCTAGAGGTCCCCCTTGGGTGGCCAGGCACCCTTCAACTGCCACAACCCATGCACCAAACTGCCTTCTCTTAGGCCCCTTTCTAAAATGCATTTTTTCCTTGTAGGTCACCCTTCCCATCAACACCTGAAGAACCCCAGACCCTGGTGTCCAGAGCGTTGATCCGGAGCACACCAGGCCCGTTTCTTAAGCATTTCCTTAGATGCTCTGCTGGGAAGCCAGGATGGCATGTGGGTGAGGAAGCCAGCACAGGAGGCTGGAGGACTGGACTAGCAGATCCCAAACCCACCCTCTGCTCTCTCGGCCGCCAGCCTTCCAGGGCTGAGGGCTCATGGGGAAGGAGTTTTGCCCGGACAGCCTCCTCTCAGTGGGACGCCCTGTGGGTTTGTCTCCACTCCGGTAGCAAAACAAACAGGGGACCTCAACAGCTTCACTTCAAAAAGTATTTTCTTTAAGTGGACTGTCTATGAAGAAACTGATCAAAGGGGCTGGAAAGGGCCACGTGGGTGGCCGATCGCCGCTGGGATTCAGGGGTCAAGGGCAGGCAGGGCAGGAGAATGGGGACCCTTGGCAGGTGTGGTGCCTTCCATCTCACCCCTGCACCAGCTGTGGGCTCCCCCCCCGGATTTCAGCAGCCTTGTCCTCACTGTGTAAACAAGACTGTGTGAGGCTCACACGAGGGTCTTCCTGGACTATGCGTGGTAACAGGAAGCATCTCTCTTCCCACAGACTATGGGCAGCCAGGGGGCCATGTCTGCACAGGACCTGAGGGTCTGGGCCCGTGTCTCCCCCGCAGCGCCCCCACTCATGCCCACAGCTTGACTCCCCCGGGGCTCAGGACTCTGCCAAAGGGCTGTTAGGATTCCTCTGGTCTCCTTGAGCTGAATCCCAGTGGGATTTCTGTTCTCCAAGTAAGAAACCCTACCCTGATTTATAAAGAAATATTAACATGAGCAAAGATTTGGTTCAAGAACGTTTTCTTACCGGGAAACCACTGATCAATCAAGGAGTTGACATGGTCTGTGATAAAAGCCATTGCCGAGAAGTCCCTCATTTCCGATTGGCAGATAATTTTTATTCCTCCACTTTTTTTCTTTTTCCAGTTCACATCTGAGGATTCCACACTGCAACCCAGAAACAAAAAGAGGTCCATTGTGATCGGCCACGAAGGGCCCTGGGAGAATCTCCTTATCTCCAGGGTGAGGCTGCAACCCCCAGGGGCCCCCAGGGGCCCGGGCAGGACTATCAGGGGTCTCCTGCATTGGTGTCCTTGTGTGCACAGCCCTGCCTTGTCACCCTGCCACCCCCAGGATGGGGATGGGGACATACCGAGGACTTTGCAGTGAGGGATGCTCAGGCTGGGATCTGAGCCTTAGGTGTGACACTGGGGAAGGTTTTGCCCCTTTCTGAACCACAGGATTCTCATCTACCAAGTCGGGGGCTGTGAGCTTTAAGTGGAAACATCGCTATGAAAGCACCAGGTGCCCAGATGGCCCAAATCGGGCCCTCAAAAAAGTTACTTTCTCCTTTTACCCTCTCTTCTCACAGAGCTGAAGAATACCTGAAAAATTCGCTGTAAGTATGAAATAATCTCGTGTGTGCTAAACCTGATAAAAATCAGTTACTAAACTGTTGAGCTGATTTTATCTATCTCAAAAAATAAACAAAGAGGACAGGAAAAGGGATCTAAGGTAGGCATCGCGGGATGCGGGCTAGGGAACCAGTGCCATTGCCAGGACATCATCTCTTAGAACAAAGCGGGTGGGGCTGGATGGATGCAGGGGCCCTGCAGGTCCCGCCTAAGTGACCAGGGGGGAGCTGGTTGCTCTCACCCCTGAGCTTAGTGGCTACCTCCTTCCCTCTAGTCCTGGGCTGTGGTCACCACATCCTCCCTTGACTTTCCTGTCCTGCAAGGGCAGAGCAGGAGGGGTGGGGAGATGGGGAACCTCTGGGACATTTGCAAGGCAGTTTCTGATTTCTAGCAAGCGTCCATGATGAGCTGCTCTCGGGAGCAGAACTCTGGGCACCACGTGGGCAGTCTCTAAGACGGCACTGTGGTGACCCAGATGAGCCCTCAAACGTTCCTACCTGAGGTAGCCCCCGTCAAAGGTTACCAGGAGCCCTTCCTGCCAGTAGATGGTCTGATTTCTTTTCACCCTGAACGTGCTGCAGCGATTTCTCTGGTTTCCCGTAAAACTATAAATGGCGACTTTCCTGTGTCTGCTTTTAGTATTCTTCTTGTTTTCAAAAAGCTGAAAGACAGAGAAAAGGCCCTGCTTAAGTATTCCTGGCTCCTCGCTGGCCCTGGGCAGAGCTCTGAAGAGGCCAGACTGGCCCCCTTGTGATAAATGACCACCGTCTGTCTTCCCACCCCCTCCTCCTGCACCGCTCATCCCGCTGCCAAACGAAATGCTGCTTTATCTGAAGGGGTCTCCCGGATACTCTGGGAACGCATTTCCCCCAGAAGATTGAAAATTGGCTTTTTTTTTTTTTGCAAATATTTTCCCTCCTTGATTTCACAAGCAAAAAGTTACCTTAGAAAATGTGGCAAATACAAAAAAATATGAGAGAGAAAAAAGATACCAAGTTAACATACGCAGAAAGATCACAAAGATTTTGGTATACTTCATTCCAGGGTTTTTTCCCCCTCTAACTAGATGTTTATGAAACAGCTGAGGCCATATTTTGTAATTTCACATTTCTATTTTTTCCCTATCTAGATGTTTATAAAACAATTGAAGTCATGTTTTATAATTTTGTATTTCTAATTTTCTAAATTTCTAGTTGTATATACTTTAAAAAACTTTGTTTTTCCTGTGCCATTAAAAACTCATAAAATTCATTTTTTTTAAAAGCTCAACATATTTTTCATCGTCACTTTTTTTTTTTTTGCTGTGAAAGCTCAACATATTTTTAAAGTATAGTAATTTCCTGAATCATTCTTTTCTTTGGACTTTTACGTTGGTTCCAATTTTTGCTGCTTCTGATAAGCCAGATGAAGAAGAAAAAGCACAAAGCTTTCTCTGATTTCAAACAATTGCCTTAGTTGAGATTTACAGCAGAAGGATTATTGGGTCAAAGGGTCTGAACATTTTCAGGCTCTGGATTCTTAGTGAGAAATCGCTTTGGAGGCGATCAGGGTGCATCCCCACTGATTCTGGGGCTGGGCAGCCAGCTCTTTGCTGATTTGACAGGTGAAAAGTACTATCTTACCAATGCTTTAATTTGCATGCCATTGATTACTTTTGAGAATGAATTCCTTTTCTTCCTCTGAATTTCAATAGGACGTCTTCCCTAATTCTGAGTGAGGGATGCTGCTGGGAAGGGTGCCTGCCGCCACAGCCAGCTGGGTCCCCACCCCGCCAGCCACTGAGCTCGCTTGGGAGCTCAGGCCTCACACGATGCTGGTGCTCGGTGACCTCCCACTTGGAACGTGGCAGGAGGAAGAGTTCAGAGGGAGGGCAGAGTGGCCAAACGGGAACATTAGGAGAGCCAGCCCCTGCGCCCACTCCTTCCATCCCTCAGCGCACCCTCATGTGTCACTAACAAGTCTCCCTCCCACTAACACGAGCTGTGAGTTATGGTTTTCAGGCTGCTGCATAGATTTTTGAACATTTCAGTAAAATCGGAAGATCAAAGTGTATCTTTATTTAGCCACCAAGTTGTAATTCCACGAGGGCATTTTAATTAGAATGTGGCAAAAGCAAACTCACACTGAGTTTATGTCAATTATTCAACAGTCCTGGCTTATGTCAGGGGTTCTCACTCTGTCAAGTGGGTCCGAATCCTCTGGAAGGCTTGTGAAAAAACAGAGTCCTGGAGTTTCTGATGCACTGGGTCTGGGGCAGGCTGGAGAATTTGCACTTCTAACAAGTTCCCAGATGAGGCTGATTCTGCTGGTCCAGGAACCCCACATTGAGAACCACCACTCTGGACAATGACTATGTCCATAGTCCTGTCTTGCATGAAATGGATGTTGACTGACAGCCGGGACTCCTTTCAACAACCCCAGGTGAACCCACAGAAAAGAACTCCTTGGGTGAGGTTCTCACTGCTCCCAGACCAAGTTAAAGTTCTATGTCCATGGTTCTCAAGCTTGAATGGACAGTGGGATCAGCTGGGGAACTTTTAAAAATATGGATACGTGGGTGTCACACCCATGGACTGTGATTCAGCAGTCTGGGTCTGGGGTCTGGTCTGTGTCTGTTAGGAGCTCCCCAGGGGAGTCCAGTCACAGCCTGAATGGCAAAGCCCTGGTTCTGAAGCCGTGGTCCTCCCAGGTGTGCGCCCGACCAGCTGTATCATCTGGGGCAGGGGCTAGAGAAGTAGACTCTTAAGTCCCAGTCTGCAGCCACTGAGTCAGATCCTGAGAGGGGCCTCGCCTTCTGTATTCTAACGAGCCCTCCTGGGGATGCTGATGTGGGTTAGATTAGAATCTGTGCTCCTGATGGGCTATTCTGTCCGAGCCAGCTAGGCGCTAATTTGATATTCACAGAATGATTCAAGTGGGTCCGTGGCCCAGAGGGGAGAGGGCAGCTGTGCTGCGCGGGACTCTGGGCCTGATGTCGGCAGGAAAAGGGCCGTCAGCCAGGTCCCTCCAGCAAAGGGCGTCTCCCTCCCTCCCCAGAGGGTGCACCTGCAGGTGCCTCGCGAGCATGCACCAACGGCCCCATTCCAAAACAGCGGCTACCTGGAGGTCCATCTCGGCCAAGCTGATCAGCATCCGTGCTATAAACCTTTGCCAGAAGCCAACGGGAACGAAGCTCATCTTAAACACCCTCTGAATGGTGTTGGCTGCGGGGTGTCGCATGCCGTGGGTATCCAGGCCAGGTTTGGACGGCAGGAGATGTGGCAGGAGATAGCTGAAACACATCAAACGGAGCTTGTGAACTGTGGACCTGAGCTCTACTGCAGGGCCCTGACCCCAGCAGATGGCTTGGCCTGGGACAGGCTCTGCTGAAACAGCTCAGGTTGCCTGCATATCTTCCTCCTGGGCTCTTTGGAATCTTATTTTGACTTATTTTTTTTTGGTGGGGGGAGGTAATTAGGTTTACTTATTTATTTTTAGAGGAGGCACTGGGGATTGAACCCACAACCTCATGAAAACGTCTGTGCGCGTAAACGCAGACACGGCACGTCGCAGCCGATTCTCTGTAAACTGGGTTGTGACTGGGGAAATCACTTAAAATTAACTTTGGATGAAGGAAAAACAAATACAGCTGCACAGTTCCAAGGACAATGTAGATGCTGGGGTCAGAGTAACGTTTCTGGCCTTCGAAGCTCTTTATTGTCCTTGGCCAGTTGAGACAACACAATTGCCTTAGAAGTTGGCGTGAGGCTGTTGGTGCCAAGGAGCTGTGTTTGAGGGGAGCGCTCGTGCTCATCATAAAAACGCTGAACCATCATGTCAGTGAGCTGTTCATGACTGTGGTCATTTGAAAACAGCTGACACAGGGGAGGTCCCTCCAAGAATTCTGTGTGCCCTGGAGCTAAGGCAGCCACGTGCAGAGCCCTGGGTGGACCCTTTTTCTTAAAGGCTTTGCCTTCAGCCCTCCTAATCCTTTAAAAAATGCATCAGTTTAGGTCCAATAAAATGTCTTTGGAACTTTCTGGAAGAGAGCCTCGAAAATACCGTAGAAGGAAAACTCATTGACAGCCCGGTGGACGGAGCTCCCAGGGGTCAGTCCTTGCTCTGTGTCTTCATCACACAACTTAACTTTGTTGGGATTCTGCTTCCCTGACCTGGGGAGAGAAGGGACACCGACCTTGCAGGGTTGGACAAGGTGCAGGTGAGGCCCGGGAGCTGGGGAGCAGATGTGAAGTTTTAGGTCCTTTCCAGCCATTTCAGGTCTTGAGTGAAAGGACCTTCTCAACCACCCCAGCTAGAGTGCCTCTCTCTACAGCCGGGCGCTCTTCAGCAGACGCCCTGATTTAATCCTTCACGTTCTTGAAAAGTCCTTCTTTGTGTCTCTGACCTCCTGAGACAGGAGGCCCTTGTCGGTGCCCAGTGTGATTTATTCTGCTGCTTCTGCCCACATCTCGCTCAGCTGGGAGCTCCTGGGACTCCCTTACAGGGGCTGTGCCCTGTAGCTTCTTTCTATCTTACAGGTGTGCCCTACTCGTGGGGAGGGAGCACGCTGTGCACCCAGGTGACCCTGCCCGCAGCCTGCACAGCGGGTGCTCAATATTTTTGCAGACAGAGATGACTTAGGAGCCAGCATTGCAAATAAAGAGCTTCAGAGTGACTGGTAGTGGAAGCTTTTCTCAAGGTGATCAGAGCCCCAGGAGAGACCACCAGCACCTGTTTGAGAGCCATCACCAGTAGGGGGGCTTCCCCGGGGGTGACTTTGGGGAATTAAGAGGTGAGCCCTTCATGTGCCTGTTGAACAGAAAGCCCTGAAGACCCAGGTGAAGCCGGTTCCCGCTACATCCCCGAGGTTGTCTCAGCGGTCAGGCAGGAGCCCTCCCTGAGCAGTGAGAGCCAGGGAGGTTCCACCTGGAAGATGGACAAATGCCTGGAAGAGTACGTATGCTTTTGGGAGGTTCAGAAATGCCCTGAAGGGTTCCCCAGGGACTCGAGGCATTGGCTGACTCCAGGTTGAAAACTGTGCTCTAAAAGGAGAAGCAAATGCCTCTGTTTGCATTGATAGTGCTGTTGACCATATAAAAGCTTATGGTGCAAGGAGCTGGAACTTGCCTGGGGCACAAGGGCACCCTTATACCTGTGCTAAGATGAAAAATACTGGCACACTCATGACTTTGGATGGGCCCAGACACCACTGGCTGTGAGTCCTTAGCACACAATGGTACTGCTAACACCGCATGTCCTGCTTACAGGCGCAGGAGACATCTTCCATACATTATCTAATTCAACCCCCACAATAACACTAGTAGGTAATAGTGTTATTCCCATTTTACACATGAGAAAGAAAGGAACTTGGGATTCACACTCAGGCATTCTGGCTCCACATGCTAACCTGTTACACTATAAGCCTCCAAGAGGACTTGGCAATAATCTGGCTGATTTTACTGTCCAGCCTGACGTACATCTGTGTATAACTGGCTTGCTTTTCCTGAGTGCTAATATCTCCCCACTCCTCTAACCTGTTGATAAAATAACCAGAAAATTGTCAGATCCTGGCAATGTGGTAAACTCACAGGCTGCCTCTCCTTGTCCTTTTCCATGGGCCAAAGTCAAGGACACACCTGGGCCACGGAATGAGGAATCATGTGGATTCTGAATTCCTCTTTGGGGTTTCTCTTTTGAGGACTCACTCATGACCCCCATGGAGCTGCAGCAGGAAGGACTGTGGCCCCCCTCCCACAGTTATAAGGCCAAGTGGAAATCTGGGAGGGGCCCCAGGCAGAGGTGGGCCAGGGCTGGCATCCAGGGGGCCCAGTCTATGCTGGCTGCACATGATCCAGGCCAACTCTTCAGGAGTCTCCAGTGGGCATCCCCCCAGATCGCTGGGGCTGGGGGGCAGGGTGCTGACATGTTCTATGGCAGGTGCACAGAAAAGATCTACAGATTTGAGATTCTGGCTGCTGCCTCATGGCCAATAGTACCAGTAGACCTAGGAAGTGGCTAAAACTGAAATTAGGGCCATGGAGGTCCTGAACACCAAGCTGGTGTGGGTCAGAGCTCACTAGATGGAACCCATGTCCCCTCCAGCCCCTGCCCTCCCTGCCGGGCTGTGTAATTTGCACTCACATCTTTGTCACTCCATTTTTTTCATCAAATACCCAAGCAATCAACCTCCTAATACGTAAACACCCCAAAGTTATTTTTAACCCCATTCTTACATGTTTTTCTACACCTTTTTAACAAGTGGATTTCTTTGAAGCCCCTGAAAAGAGACACCCTCAGCACAGGAAGAAGCAGTCAGCTGGGGGCTGGCTGAGCCCACCCTTCAGTTCCCTAGCTCATACTGGCAGGTCATTTTCACGTCCCTCCCTGGAAATCTTGCTCAAGCCACCAGCGCCCCCAGCCTCAAAGCCTTCCTCTAGGAAGCAACCCACCCAGCCTGCTCCGCGGCCTCACCTGTCATTGGCGACGGGCAGGGCGATCTCAAACTTGGCCAGAAACTGAAAATACTGCTCTTCTGTCTGCTTCGTGAAGCCGGTCCCGACCAGTAGCATCCTGAGGTCCTCCGCCCTGATCACCCCGTTCTTGGCCACCGACCTGGAGCCCTTGATGTTGAAGATCCTCTGCAGACACTCGGACAGCCAAATGGGGTCGAGGAAGTAGAGGTTCCTCAGGCCGTGGCTGGTGTCCGGGAAGTGCAGCAGGGTGCCGGTTTCAATGAGGAAGCTGATGGCTGCCCAGGAAAGGGGAGGAGGGGGCAGCATCAGACAAAGGGCAAAAGGGACTCTGGGTGACTTCCTCCCAAGGAGGCCAGGTCACAAATTCTTCCTAAGAAGCAACCAACACTCCCACCACACGGGGCACTTCACACCAGTCAGCTGCCCCATCACAGGTTCTCAAGTGGCATCTTGTACTGATCTGACCACAGCTGGATGGAGGATTATACCTGATTGATCACCATCATTCATGGATTCTGTCTTTGCAAATTTGCTTACTCATTAATGTTGGCCCCCAAATCCATCCCTGCAGTGGTTTCGCAGTCATCTGCAGACACACGTGAAAAACCTGAGTGCCCCTTCCTGGGGGGCCCTGTGCCTGTGCCTGCTGATGCCCCCGGGGGCCCTCCTGGCCCACCCACCAGACTGCAGGTCCTCGTAGTCCTTGATGTCGTTGCCGGACATCTGCTCCACCAGCTGCTCCAGCTGCCTGTCCGTCAGGTACTGCACGTCGTCGCTCAGGCTGCGGCGCTGCTGCTCGGCCAGCACGGCCTCCTGGAGGCTCAGGTAGCTCCTGGGGATCTGGGACAAGTGGGCAGGGCTGGGCCTCTGGTCCCCAGCGATGCCCCGCCAGCCCTGCCTCCCCTGCCGCCCTCTGGAGGCCTGAGCAGGTGGAATGTTTCCCATCACTGCCCCACCCCTCCCTTCCCCCAGAAACTGCTCACATGGGACCACAGAGTCTGAGGACACAGCACACACAGCCCACGTGTTTTACAGTAGAGGAGGCGTGGATGCCCCGAGATGGGGAAGAGGCCCCTCTGGGTTCAAGTGGCCGAGTGAGGTACCCACCAGCCTCCCTGCAAGTCGCTGGCAGCCGATGGTGCTGCCAACATCCTTCATGTTGCATCGTGACGTGGAAAATGAGCTGCCGCAGCCCCTCCTGACCTTCCAGGCTCTTGCAGGAAAGCTCGCTGTGAGTACAAAAAAGAACCGCGCTTACTCCTCACGCCTCCCCTCTCTGATGAGCACTGTAATGTCTGTTTACCCCAGTGTTTTCTCCCAAACACTGGCAAGTTGAGAACACTGACG